TGTTTGTCTGCCCTATATACCCTGCCCGTCTGTCATCAGAGCCCACATTTTTTGGGACTCTAGATGGAGAATTCTAATGTGGATGACAGCTCACTTGGGGAAAAGTAATGTAACAACACTTTTAGGAGGCTTGCAAATAAATAAAAAATGAAATAGAAACCCCTAATCGCTCCCACCACGTAATAAGAATCATTCCCCGAAACATGCTGGGAAATATTTCCCCTTACTTACCTCAATTGTCTGCTTCTGCTCTTTGTGTATTTGCGTGAGCTTCTCTACGTCTCGATCAAGATTCAATTTATGTGGCTGCATCCATTTCTCGAAGTTCTTCTCCTGTGCTTTCAAAATTTTATGCAAAAAGTTCTTCTCCTCATTCAAAACGGTTAAAATATTAAACTTTTCCGCGCTGACTTTTGTCTCACGTATCAGTTCGTTCTCCAATAACGCCAACTCCGCCTAAAAGAGGTAATTAAAATTGTTAAAAAAAAATCTTATCCTTCTAACATCACTACTTCTACGCCAACCCTCACCTTCCTTCTCGCTATTTCTCTCTCGATTTGCCGAAATTCCTCCTCAGCGGACGTTTCCAAATCGAATACATACCTGCGCAAAACCTCCTCCTCCAATTCATCCAAATTGATGATCATACCAAATTTCTTAATAATCTCCTGCTTGATGGCAGCCTCCAATCGTGTGATTTCGCTGCGCATAAATTTAATGTCGGTATTCATGCGACGCAAATGTACTACATTGATACGATGTAGACGTCGAGTCTCCAGTGTCTCTTCATTCAACTGGGAGACACGATCTTTCAGCTGATTCAAGCGTTCAGCATCGAATAGTATGGCACGACTTAAGTCTAAATAATCTTCACCTGGTCTGAAGTGTTGCAATTGATCCATTGACAACACTACACAGATTTTGATTTTGTTCAATTCTTGTTGGCGTTTGCGCTAAAAAAAAAATCGAGAAATAACAGGTACTAAATACTCTAGCTGAGGAAGTAAAAACGCATGCTCACCCGAAAAACCGTTAACGTTTCCTTCTCCTGCGCGTAGACTTCTTCGTGATACTTCATTTTCTTTTGCAGCTCAGCCACATCTGCACGTCGTTGTTCTATGCTTTTTTGTGTCTCTGAGAGCACCTTTTCAAGAGCATGCCGCTCGGAACGCAGCTGAAAAGCCAAGTCGTACGTGCTACGTTCCAGCCCTGCAGGACAGTGACTTTCATCTAACCGTATCGTAGTAATATCCGTTGAATCAATACTTTTGGCATCGGCATCCTCATCCTCGCTGGACGACTCGTCGCTCGAGGAGGACTCAGAAGATTCTTAAAGAAAAAAAGTGTTTTTTTAACACTAAAACAGCATCCACAAGAGGGACAGCGATCATCTTCCACTAGTCTACTCAGTACAACGCAACTTAACTCAATGTATTCTCCTCTACGTCATTGACATTCAGAGATCACACTGACCAGCCTGATTTAGATCAGCCAGAATAGGACTTGAAAAGAAGGCAGCTTCTTTTGTTGATCAAAAAAAAAATCTCCTTGGCTATTGGTCTGCTGACCGGTCGTATCACTTTAGGGAAGCACGGGTAGAGGTTCTTTAGGAGCAGTAGAAACGAGGCTTAATCAGTAAAACACTTACTTTAAGACAGTCCCGAACTGGGAAAGTAGAGACTGAGGTTCATGGCCGCGCGAAACTTTTGTGACCTGAGCGAACGGGTGGACATTAGAATAAGGCGAATGTCCAAATTTTTCAACTGCACTTATTGCCTTGTATCAGGGATGGGAGAGAAGAATGAATGGGAATCCCATTGGTGCAACAACGGACAAGATTGAGATCCTAATTGTGCTTGTATGCTAGTTGAGGACTATTTAAGGATAATTTCGAACTACTCCGAAATGCTTCTAATCCTAAAATTGTCCTGGAGTTTCGGAAAGTACACTGAACTAAGCCCGAAATGGACTTGAAAAAGTCATAAAAATATTCCAAAATCGCCTAGAAATAGTCCCAAACCAGTCCCGAAATGGTACAAATCCCGGAATAGTCCTCAGCTAGAGTCAAATGGTCCTGAACTCGTACCGAAATCGTCCTGAATTAGTAAGGACCAGGTCCCGAAATAGGCCTTGAAATGCCCCGAAACAGTTGGAAAATCATAAACTTGTCCCAATAATCTCGGACATGTCTTGAAACGGTCCGGAAATGGTTCTATATTAGTCCCAAAACGATCGCGAATTAGGCCCAAACTGGTCCCAAAATAGTTCCTTAAATGCTCCTGAACCAGTCTTGAAATGGTCCAGAACTAGTCTCATAGTGGTGCTAAAATATGCGTAAACGGTTCAGAAATCGAGAACTAGCCCCGAAATGTTCTCAAATAGCCCGGAACTAATCCAGAAATGATCATTTCCACACACAAGAAGTAATTACATCTTTCCTGCTGAGTTACACAAGAAGTAGCAGCAAATTTTACCCATACCGAGAGCTAAGATCTTTACACATCTTTACTTGCCGAAGCTTAAGACGTCTCACAAAAGGAAATCAAGATTTTTTTTTATTGTTACACTCACCATCATCAGCCTTGGGTGGCTTTGGTGATCGCCATTTCTTTTTGAATATGCGCCGCAAGAAATCGAAGAATTTATGCCCCTTGCAGGTGGTCATGAATTTCTGCTGCACCGCTATTATTTGCTCGTTTAATCTATCGACATTCTTTTTGCTCTCCTCGATTTGCCGTTTTTTCGAATTGATCACCGCCTGCATTTCGTTGCGTGTCTTCATCGCCTCATCAGCATTGTTTAGCAATTGATTTTCGATCTCTTCGCTATCGCGTAATATATTCAATTCTTGATTCAAAGTAATACTATAGCAGTGCATGAACTCAGCTTCGTACGAAGCTCTACAACGTGTTGCTATCATTTCCGCCAGATCCTTATCGAACTCACTAATACGATTTTTCACCTTCAACACTATGCCACTCTGTTCATCCAGCAAATCGATTAGCCATTGATAGCGCGCCATAGACAACCATGGCGCAAAACCGTCCTCGTTGCGCTCGAAGAAGTCTGGTTCAGTAAAACTGGCATAATCATCGAGTTCTGCGAGTATAGCACTAATATCCGGCAGCTCGTCCACTTCATAGGCATGCAAAGATTGGTGTAACGAGTGTTCGATCTTATCGCGCGCCGTCACATTCTGGTCGAGTGACGGCGGTGGTGGTGGCTCCGGCAGTAAGTCATCAACTTTCTTCTCCAAATACAGTATATCTTCGATTTCTATGCCACAGCCTGGCTGGCAATTCTCCTTGAGATTACGCTCTGGATACTCAACGTTCATTTCAATATTTCCTATGGAAATCAAATACTCGCGATTTACGTGTGGTAGAAATGAGTGCAACTGTTCCAATCGCTTACGCGACTCTTCTATATACTTGTAATACTCCCATTTGCGTTTGCGCATTTGCATAAGTTCCTTATTGAAGCGATCTAAAATGAGAAAATGTGCTTGCCTTGCATTCACCACTTCAATGTATTTGTAGGTGAGATTTTCGTTGACTCGCGGCTCATAGTCGTAGCCAATTTTCAGCTTGTAATCGCCAAGATTTTTCTCCGCTTCGGCAATTTTAAGCTCATCATGCGGATGATTCTTGTTCGGATCGGGTTTACCCATTTCCATCCGCTCCCAATTATATATACGCTCGATTTCGTGCAGTTGGCGAGAGCGATAGCGTCGCAATAGGCGGAGCATTTTCTTGCTAAAGCGTGGTATGATAGCATTCGGATTACGACCGAAGAAGAAGTTCTCCTCACCCAGTTCGGGCATACTGGGCTCCTTCTCCTCGGCAACGATCGGTTCAATGTATCTGAGGAGTGATAAATGTTGTTTATGTAAATATAAAGTGCCGTTATTTTAAAGGAAAATGGGTGCTGAAAAGTAGAATATACAAATTACTTGAGAAGACAGAAAATAGTGCTTATGCTGTACGAGTTAAAATAAGTTTCTCGTCAAAATATATACATACGTAGGTAGTACGTACATACATATATCTACCGTGATCTCTAAAAATTCTAAACCTACTTATGTATGTACATATATTAGTGTACATTACTCTTCATACAACAAAAAAATATATACGGCCTTATCCTGAGTTTCGCCCGAAAACAAAATTCACCCGAAAATTTTTTATTCCTCCCATAGTAAATATATGGAAACCAAACGTGAAAGTGAACCGATCCGGGGAAAATTAAACTCATGATAAGGCTGATACTTACTCTGCCTCATCCTGAGTTTCACCAGAAAAAAACTTCACCCGAAAATTTGTCATCCGCACATAGTAAAACCATGGAAACCAGGAGTGAAAAGTGAACCGGTTCGGAGAAAATGAAACTCATGATAAGGCTGACTGTTTTTTCTTCGGAAATATAAAATTTATTCGCCTTATCATGAGTTTAATTTTCCCTGAATGCGGATGAAAAACTTTCGGTGAATTTTTTTCGGCCGAACCTCAGGACTTTAAGACTTCCGCTAAAATATTTCGGAAAAAGTGTTAGCATTTACGTGAGTTGGCCTTATTTGAAAATACCTCTACAAATCATTTTTTTTTAAATAAATAAAAGTAGTTTTAAGAAATATTTTATCCAAAAAATCACCTCAGATTAGAGATGTGCGATTAATCAATTAATCGAACAAGCTGATTAATCGAAACCTGATTAATTAATTAATCAAAGAATCGTAATTTTTTATTAAGGAAATTAATTACATTTTAATTAATCAGAATCTAATTAATTTTATTAATCAGAAAACTGATTAATCATAACCTGATTAATCAGAAACCTGAATAATTTCTGCTTTATTTTTTTTATGTAGACAAAGTTTTATATACATACATACATGTATATTTTTTTCATTTCAATGAGCAAAATAATAATGTGCTCGTTTCGCATTACATTTTTGTAAATAAGAAAAATATTGTATTATATAAAAAAAAATATCATTTGTTTTGAAAGCAAACTCGACATATATGAGCAAAGTAATTCAGATTTCAATAAATTTTTTATGATTAAATCACGTTTTTTGATCAGGATTATGATTAATTAAAAAAATATTTATTTGATTAATCGCACATTCCTACCTCAGATGATAGAAGATTTATGCTTAAAAGATCCAAGTAAACATATTTAAAAATTTTACCAAGATAATTTTTCATTAATTAAATATTAATTTCATTGGTGCACTGCGGCACACTTAAATATTTTTGTAATATTCAGGCTCGGATGAAGTAAATAGCGAATGCCCTTTAGAATTTTATTTTCGTTTTACTTTCGTGAGTCAAAAAAAGAGTGCATATAATCTAGTGCACCTATGTATATTAGTTCTAAGAAACTAAGAAATAAAAGTACACTCTTACTCTGTTTGTGTTGTTGGAAGCTCAGTTTCCTCATCGCTTGGTAAGCATTAATAAAAAAAAATAGTTAAGAATAACATAATTACGAATTTCGAAAGCTCATCCTCACGTCAATAAAATATAACATACTTTTAGGGAGGCATAACAATGATAAACTGTAAAAAATATATATAGGAGGAATCAACCTTCCAGGGCTACCGTTAGTTGTTGTCATATTCATCATCCGACTGGGAGAGCCTAGGGCAGAAGAACAGTGCGGCGTCGATGGGTATTGACCACAAGACCCTGGCTGCCAGGCGCGTCTAGTTCAGTGGTGCACACGTGAGCCAAAGGTCGTTTTGTTGAATACACACATACTGAGACAAAAATTTTGCGCTTGTTTTGGAAGCTGTGTCAGCGCTGTGCAACCCTGGTCTAGTTGGATAAACATGTCGGGCATATGTTTGTCCCCACGTGATTTAGACAACAGAGGCGGCTGTTAAGGCAGCTACACCAGCCCGATTACAGTAATTCCGTTTCCTCGGTGGCTATGATTGATGAGCGGCCGCCATGAACGTTCTCATCACGGCAGTTATGAGCTTGTTTCGCGCTATGTCGCGGTGTATATCGGTTAATGGTTTGTGGCGTCGTCCTTCCAGCCGAAAATATGCCTTATGTTGTTGTTGCTGTTGTTGTAGCGGCTACAATAACCCCGCCCAGATAGGCTAGTCTCTCAGTCATTGTCGCCAAGCTCAACTAACGGGAGAACCCAAGACGCGTGCAGCTTTTATAGGGTCCGTCCATAGGGACATAGGCCTCAGTTGAGTGGGGTTTTGAGGGCATGCAAAGAGATGTTTCGAATCGTGGCGTGTCTCTTTCTGCATGCCGGGCTCTCATTGGGCACATCCGCATCTAGCCTGCTCAGGTACGAGTTGAACCCGCTACAGCAGCCAGAGTGAAGTTGGGCTATTGTGGCCCGAGTCTCCCGAGGCAGACGAAGCTCCGTCTCATCCACGTCAGATGGTTGTGTGCCCAGAACGGCATTCACAGTTCTGGCGTCTATGTAACTTGAGACCAACTCCCAGTGAATGGGACTCAAGGCCTGTCGATATGCTGTCCGGTCCAGAGGTTGCTTTATGAACCTCTGGACTTCGTATGTCAGTTCATATGGATGCCTTCTGACGTGCCTTGGCGAAGGCTACTCTGCAAGCAAGTGTCTGTTCGGGGGTCCACGTCTGTGGCTCCCTACTAAGAATTGTTTGCAGATACATACCTTCTCATATGTCTAGGTAGTGGTTCGCAAGGAAACAAAGTGTTAATTGAATGGTGTACCACTGGAAAAGGACATTTCTGTGAAAATCATCGCCGATGCGGATTCCTATTCGTTGTGAAATGAATTCCTATCGCTTTAATAACTCCCAGTAGTGACGAGGAAGTGACATCGTGGCGATAGGTATAAAATTCTCTTCCAATGACTGACAGGGAACTTAGTTCCTAAAAAAAAAATCGTTTGTGTGTTGGAAACTTTTAAGTAAAACTGAGTGTGGCTGATGGAATGCCAGCTTCTTGGTTTACCACGTTCTTTGATGCAACTTTATAGAAAACACACCATTGCGCTTACCTACGCTTCGCTGCCTCCAGCAGCAAACGCTCCTCGATCTCATCCTTGATTTTCTCAAATTCCTCTCCAAGTTTTTCTACACGAAATGAGGTGACCCTTACATCTTTGCTGAAAATAATTTAATTATTTTGCAATTACGATTTTAAATCAAAGCAAATTCCAAGCTTTACACTCACCTAATACCGCTCACCGTAAACGGCACATGTTCTAATTTCTTCAAAAAATGATTATACAACTTATTTTTACCAACTTCAGCCACCTCCAGGTCGTAGGCCAAATCATCGCGCACATCATCCAACTCCGTTTGCAGCTCATCCTTGATTTGTTTAGTTATGCGTTCGTCCAGAAGCAGCTTGCGATCCGGCAGTTGCAACTCCTCTTCCAAAGGCAACATATCGCTTTTGATATCATTGAATTTCACCTGCAATTCACCGATTTGTGCCAACACTTTTCGGTTATGCGCTGCGGCCGCTTCCTCTTTGCGTTTAATTTCGGCATAGATTTTCTCCTGTTCCAATGAAGGATACTCTGGATCGTCTATATCGTCAGCATAAAAATCTTTTAGCAGAGCATACTGCACCACATCCAAAGGACCACCCTGCACCACTTTGGGTCCATGCCACTTGTAAGAGAAAATATTGCCATCATATCCAACGCTAAACAAATATTGGCCATCGCAGCTGGTCAAAATGCGCGATATAATTCCATTGTAGGAATCGTGCATGGCAAATAGACGATAATCGGCTAAATCTGTGAAATCGTTGGCAGTTGTACGATTGATGCGCAATTTTCCATCTACCAAGCCGAAAATCAGGTAATCCTCACTGGAAGAGAGGAGGGAAGAGGAGAGAAAAGTATTGCAATATCTGTATAGGTAAGTTATTACTTTCGATATAATTATCGGAATATATATCGATATCGGTACACCTGTATATCGCTATTTTTATCGGCATACATATATGATGTCGAAGTTGATAAATTTACCGATGGAAATGACTTTCTTACTACAAGTGGATCTTGTTGTCGATGTATTTATCGATATAATTAAGACGATATTTATCGATATATTTTATCGATAAAAGGTAGTCTCCACTGGAAGAAAGGTGGGAGGGAAGGGAAGCCTATCGATATAATTATCACACTATATATCGATATCGTTATCTGTATACCCATTTATTGATATCAACCCATTTATCAGCTGCCCGGCATGATATCGCCTCCATAGATGTGCGCTGGGCAACGACCAACAACCAAAGCTTCTACCCGTCGAACAGCCACAACTCCGAAAACCGCACATTTACCAACATACAAATTTTGCTCCCCTTCCACCCCATCAACAGGATGAGCAATTTAATAGGTTTGCGCCTCATCGGCGCTAGGAGAATTCCCAAGGTTGGTCCTGAGACCAGGAAAGTAGGCGGATCTTGTAGAATCTTATAGGCTAGAACTGTGGCAAAGAATATGCCAGTGCTTGTCCACCCTTCCAGAATAAGCATCTGCCCATCAAATACCATCAACACGTATTCAAAAAGATAAGCAAGGGTCTGAAACAACATCGATCCTGTGCTAACTCGTCCCTTTCATATCGGCCGAGGCGGTTGTTTATTAATTCATTATCTGTGCGAACGCCTGTTATCGGTCGAATTCCGCAACTCTAATAGCAAACCACTTTGGGGGATCCCAAGATGACATACTACATCCGACACAGGGCTAAACTCGCGCCGCCATCAGCTGGAGTAACCTTAGTGAGTTACTCCGACGACTGTACTATCTTGGCGACAAATACTGGCTATCTCTTTGAACTTTCTGAATTCTTGACCGAAACCTACTAATTTCTGCGGCTACATCTTTAACCACACTCTTTACAACATGGGCAAAGGAGGTCAGGCTAAAACTCAATGTGAATGGTGATGACCCAATTAGCCGACGGTATACCACACCAAATGTGGAAAGTCACGTGCGATGCCCCATCAGGATTTTCTGCGAACACAACCGCCACTGGCATTAAGCTTTGTCGAAAGAGATAAGGTCCTCAAGCTACCTACAGGCAGTATTTGGAGTGCGGATAAATAAGCCTTGCTGGTGAGTTAAGAGACCATTGGAGGGCAGGTAGGTATGATAGATCCAGCACGGGTTTAAAGTCTCAGGCCCTCTGAGTCGGTTTCAAATTCAAACTAAAAAACTGGTCTTACAGACCTATCTAAACCAAATGGACTACAAGGAGCTTGATCCACCTTTATGGAGGCAAGAATCACCTTTATGGAGGCAAGAACAGAATGCCAATACTTCTCAGTTGTAATATATCAAAAGGATCAGCTTTTCGAAGAAAGTTCTGCCTACTTACATCGTCAAATAAGAGTGTATTTCGCAATCATCGCCGTCCGCTATTATAGTACACCTGTAAGGCTCCGCATAACCAAATATTAGCTCATAGATATAACCAGCATCGAAGCCAGCCATCGAGGTCCACACAGTGTCATCGCGCGTATAGCGGAGCCAAAGCACTGGATTGGGCGCAGCAGGTATATGTAAGGGTTCCTCCTCTTCTTCGGGCTCAGAATCGGCTGCATAAAAGTGAAGAGCAAATAAAATAGCGAATTAATAACTTTTCTCAACTGAAGGGGGTTCTAAAGCATTTACCCAACGCCGTTTCCATGTCAATTTGCAAGCCCGGATTGGCAGCCTTCAATTTTTCCACTTCCGCCAATTTGCGTTGACGTTTCTTCTCCTTGCGTTTCTTGATTTTCTCACGCTTTTGATCACGTCTTATGAGACTTTTAACCGATACAAAGCGTGTCGACTTCATTTTCTGCGGATCGGTAATGTTGTAGGAGAGAAATGTTTGCTCGTCTGTGACGCGGGCGGGTATTTGGTATTCGTATACCTCACCAGTTTTGCAGCCCATCAAAATTGTGGAATACTGCAGGTTTCAAAGAGTAAACAAGTACATAAGAAATTTTCAAAAACCGAAAATAAAAAAATACGCTTTCGTTGAAGCACCTCATCGTTCTTCCAGTTGAAACAATTCACCACAGCATCGAGCACCACAAAACCCATTGGTTTCAAGCACATCATATTATTCTCCTTATCTTCAATGTTATACACAAATATGGACTTGTCCATGGAGGACACGACTAGGCAGGTATGCCTCGGATTGACTGTCAATTTCGTGATGGCACCAATATGCGCCTTAATAGCGCGCACCAAATGCAACTCCACTCTCTTTTCATTGCGCAAATCCAACACCAATTGACGTAGTATGCCATCCTCGAAGCCGGCGACTACATCCATACCCGTACTGGATATTTTTGTCGAGAACCAATGCAAATCGCTGCCGCTTGAAATAAACTTCTTCTCCAGCAATAAAGTGTTGCGTACATAATCGAATAGGAAGATCTTGCCATCCTCGCCTAGCGTCATTAGATGCGTTGAAACGGGGCTTGTTTGTGCGGCAAGCACTTTGCCGCCATGACAGCTATACAGCTTTTTTGGCTTGTTGGGTACGTCGTGGGTATTGAGATCGCAATACCAAATACCGCCATTGCCATCCTGCATAGAGAAAAACGAATAGAGAATGGACAAACAGAGGCGCCTCTCTTAAATCCCTACACCCCAGCTAAATTACCTGCGCATAGTAGCCAAAATCATTGCTGTCGAATGGTTTAATCTTCTGCAGCCCACGTATCTCACAATCGCCCACCTTAAACTCATAGATCGGCTCGATCTCGACGAAGCGATCGTCGTCCGGCGGATCGGCTAGATCAACTGTTTCCCAATACCAAATACGTACATACCCATCCATACCCACAGTCATCACTTCACCGTTCTCCATGGTGATGCGTGTAATTGGCTTTGTGTGACACGGTTTGCGTCCCTTGCGCGTAATCTCGAACTTAATCAGGCCCGCTTCCCACAACAGCATATTCCCCCACTCACAGCCTGAAATGATATTCTCATCGGGCAGCATATAAATTGCATAGATGTCACTAAAATCCGTTTTGCCAAAGCGTCCCAGCTCGCCTTTCAATTTCAAACCGGTAAAGGTGTTGGCCATTTTCCAAAATTTTATGTGACTCAGTCCGCTTGAAGCCAAGAGTATCGGATTGAAGTGAGAAAAGTGTACGTGCTGCACATTATTCTGAAAGGATTTGGAACGCAGCACCACATGGCCGCTTTGCCAACGCCAAATGGTGAGCATAAAATCTGGATAGCCGGCTTGTGAAGCGAATAGCTCGCCAGTGGAGTTATATGAGCCGCAGGTGAAGCAAGACTTGGCCGCATTCTCCAACTTGATGCGCACCTCGTGCGTGGGATATTCGTAAATGAATATAGTCGGCGTTGCACCATTCTCCGCAACGGTGAGCAAGTCGATGAAGTCGGGATGTTCATTGCGCTGAAAAGTATGCAGTTTATTTTTTTTTTTTATTTTGTAAAGGAAGTTACGTCATTTTGACTTTGAAAGTTATACCGTTATAAATCCAATGCCGCCACCAAACACCGATTTGCGAAATGTAACTTTGCGCGTGGGTATGTCAAAGTAATGCAAATAATCACCGGAAGCAAAAACCAATGTACTGTCATCGATGAGCACCAAATTGAAGAAACGCTTGCAATCATAGCCAAAGGAATGGCTGAAAGTAGTTATAATTATTTATCTACATTCATACATACATACAGACATATGTACATACATACATAATTTACGAAAAAATACATCAAAATACTTACCGCAACTCTAAAATATCATCGCCAAAGGAGGGCTCTTTCTTTGTTATTACTTCCGCTTCATCTTCATTTTCCATTTCTTCTTGCTCGGACATGTTTAACTATTTTCGAAACTAAAATTATTTTCTTGTATAGTTTTTTTTTTTTTGTAATAAAATAAATTCCTATTTTATTATTGCACAAAATATTCATTGACACTGGCGAATGAAATTGGAAGAGAAGTGCTATGAAACTCCGAAATTGGTACAGGGAAAGTTTGTTTGCGCGTTGCCAAGCAGTTGTTGCTTTCTGTTCAAAAACTTGTTAACTTGTTTAAAGACTTGTTCGAGATTATTTCGGGATAAGCGCCCAACTTTTTCGACTGTTTCGTGGCTTGTTCAGGGCCATTTCGAGATCATTTTGGACCTGTTGAGGACCATTTTTTAGACCATTTCAGGACTAGTTCTGGACCTCTTTAGCCTAGTTCACGACTTGTCAAGACTATTTTATTTATTTTGGGACTAGTACGGGTTCAATTTAGGTCTAGTTCAGGACCTTTTGGGGACTGCTTAAGGACAATTTCGGGAGCAGTCCAGGACCATTTCAGGAACATTTTGAGAGAAGTAAGGAACCATTTCAAGACCGTTTCAAGACTTGTTCGAGATCCTTTCGGGATAAGTTCACGATTTTTGTCATAACGACTTCACGACTACTTCAGGGCAATTTTAGAACTAGTTCGGGACCATTTCATGGTAGTTCGAAACTATAGCTGAACTATTCACGAGGTGCTTAAGAAAAGGTCGTGTACGGACTACGACAAAATTATTAGAATGAAATTAAATTAAATTAATGTTTAATTTCTAACCTAACCTATTTAAGTATGTACATAAATGAATCGCCCAATCCTTTGCCAAGTCGTACACAGATGTTTACACATTAAATTCACGAGTACCTGGTATTGACGCCCTTTTTACGAGAAGGAAGCATCGAAAGTCTTTACCCGTCAGTGTGGGACTGTAGCTCGAACTAAACCTCCTGCTGTCTAAGTACCGATGCCCCGGTACTATAGCAAGTTCTGCCACGTCTTGCTCTTAGGGAAAGACTTACTTTTTTAACTATTTATTTATCTCTTAGAGTTGACATGCAAATTCCCCACGGTTTATGAGGAGCGGTGCCGGAGAGACATTTCTTGGCCAGATATATGTAAATCTGGGTCGTATTGGGCAGGCGTTCAGAAATGAAGAGTTTCAAGCCCGTGTATGTAGGCTCCCCACTTACGCTTAGGTTGCTAGATTTCGTGTTCGGCAGACGGTCGGAAAGGACGTGTTTCAAAACCATACTGCTTTATCGGTTGGAAAACCTAGGTTCCCATCCACTTCTGCGCTTCGGATCAAGTTTGTTCACTGGTGATACGCCACTGTCTCTCCAAACCCCTTAATTGTTTCAGAATTGAAGATTGTGTGTCGCTGGTTGATATCCATTCGTCGGTCCCTTCTGACTATCAATCTCAATTGGTTCATCTTGGGTACATGGTGGAGGTCTTCTTCCACACCACTTCCGCAGTAGTCGGCGATGGGGTCCCGCTCATGTTGGAATTTGAGCAGGTATGCCTTAAAGGAGCAATGTACGCTGAGGAACTGGCTCAGATAAAAATCTACTTCGTCGTACGTTCTAATAATCAGTGTTGGTATGCAATGATAAGTCTAATGACCCTTAGTCGTACTGTTCGACGTGTTTTGCCCCTCCGGGCTCAACCTCGTTCTATTTGAGCTAAAGCGTGGGGGGCGGCTGCCAGGAGGGTCGATTCTTTTGCCACCGTTAGACATCGACTACGAAAGCTGCTTTGTCCGACACTGTTCTGAAGGCGCTACAAACTCGAATAAAATAATTGGCTTTTAACCACAATCGCCAAGAGTAAACACCTGCGCTGTTTCCTTGCCTCTACCCTTCCACAGAAATCATTTCAAACCAGGCGGTCCTGTACTGTACATTTTTACAGATTAGTCCAACTATTCTAGCCATCTCCTCAACTCGTGAGGCTGATTGCTTTGAACCACTTCGCCTATTCCTACAATCTCCGAATCAATCCTACCACTGTAAGGGTTTAGACTTTTGCAACAGCCTGCCTGAACTTGTGTTAGGTTGGTTCTTGGTTCCCTTTGGAGGCCGATTTCGTAAGCAGTTGGGTGTTGGTAGAAGGATATGGGTATGGTGTATATGGCAGTTTCCAACGAGTCGCTGTGAAGTCAGTTTAGTCTTGCAGGCATTCCTTGCGGCTCTGTGGACTTAGCGTATAATGAGTGTCTTTAATTTGACTGATATGCTTTCCAGCATGTCGCAGTGGTAAGCGTTCTGCCAACCCTTTAGGTTATGATTGGGATTGTTTGGTCTATGAACAAAACCCGCTCGGATAAAAGCATTTGGTTTGTTTAACTCCAACATTTCCGCTGAATGAAGCTGATCTTGGTACGACTTCAGCAGCCCCACTCACACTGGATTAGCTTAATTTAATACAGACCGGCCGATGGCTTCGCATGTGGCTAACAAAGTTCTAAATGGGCTTCCAGCTAGCGACTTGAGTCCCATGTTCTTGCTGTGGAGATTGTTGTAGCGAGAGGAGGCATTTTGGGTGCGATTTAGGTCTCACCGACCTCTAAGTCAATTTTTTGCTGGGTTGATGCTTTCAAGTTTCCCCTATATATGTACATATATAAAAAAATAGTACCATGAAATGCTAACTTAATAGTTTTGAGCCAATCGTGGCTAGTAAGCCTGGAGAGGCCTAGCAGTAAGCGGAGTAGACTTGCGGATAGGTGCTACTCCGCGCACAAAAAAATATTTGGGATGTAAACTTAGTTGATGGTCCTTGGTCTGCCGAATATAGAAACGATCTTCGTGAGATAGAATTAGCAGTATTTAGAGAATGTGCCTTAAAATATACAACATGAAACCAGTAAAGTTGTCATTCGTCATCGACTTCTGATGAATGATTATCTTGAGAAATTGCATGCAGCCAAATTAAAATTCCAATAAAATCGCTGAATAATAATACGACTACCTACATCTATATTGAAAATATTAAAAGCTTTTAGATACATTCAAAAAGGTTTAAACTATTTAATGACAAAACATGTGAGTACGAATAGAATCCTTAAGCAATAAAATGTACTTAAATTTGTTGTTATAAATGAGTACTCTATAATGGTAGCATTTAAAGGCATATAACACGCTCCCATGCGCTTTCCCTTTTTCACCCCTTCAGGATCAACACATTAAATCCTTAAAATCATCATCATCCATAAATAAATCTTCAATATTTTCCAACTCCTTGCTCAAGTCTAAATTTTTCGCTGTAGCAATTGTGGCACTTTCATTCTCTTTCACTTCTTTATTTGGCTCAACACTAACATTCGTGGTCGGCTGGTTTTCCATCTTCACAGGCGAGAAAAAGTCTTCGATTTTGTGCGACTGTTAAACAAAGAATTTTTACACATACAAGTTAAAAACTAAAGTTGTTTTAAATCAAAAATATGCGCACCCACCCCCGTTGGCGCTGCAGTATGCGTAGCATCTTGTAAATTTTCACAAAAGAGCCCAGCTTTATTTAATACATCCTGTTTATTTTTCAACATATTCCAAATAATATCGTCAGCGGTTTTAGAGGCCATTAAATAACGACAAATAATCGGTTTATTCTGGCCAATGCGATGGGCGCGACTTTCAGCCTGCGCCAAGGTCTGGTGAAACCAAATAGAAATTAAAATAAAAACTCAAATTTAGTTAATCTTGGCATAACCAGCATGCGCGAAATATGTCAAATTACACTTGGATTCCAGTCCAACTCGGCAAAAATAATCATTTCAGCTGCGGTCAGCGTGATGCCTGCATTACATGCGCGCAACGAAAGCACAGCCACCATGCAAGACGACTTTGTTTGAAACGCGTCAATGTATTCCTGTATATGGGATAATTTATTTAGTATAGATGTACAATATAGCCTTCAAATTTATGCGAAATCTTACCGCTCTAGCTTCATTTTTGGTGCTACCATCAATGCGTATGAAATTAACATTCAATTGGTTTAAGCAATCAGTAATGGCGTCCAACATGACACGATGATGTGCGAATACAATAAATTTTATCCTCTCTTTGACTAAATTTTTGAGATACGCACTTAAGGTTGTTCATTAGATAGAAAGAAAGAAAGATCAGAAAGAAATGATCAGAATTTCGAGATTTGACTTGCAACTTACCAAACAGCGCGCGCTTTAACCTCAGCAGTTGTTGAATAAAATCTCATAAGGATCTGCTCGCGCTCTCGCCCTACGCTTGAGGAAAAATCTTTACTAAGCGTCTCTAAATCATCACATGTGTCGTTATCTTTACAGCCAATAAGCGCTGGATCCAAAACAACTGTTTCGCTATAAGAAAAATATTAACATTTTACCATTCAAATACGAATAAATGATAGCTCTGAGTCCACTCACCGTTGTTTCTCAGCCAACTGCGGTAGCACAGCTTCCTTTGTGCGACGTATCATGAATTTCAACTTCAGCACAACATTTAATTCCTCTAGATTCGATTGACCCGTAGCATCCCAACCGAATTGTGTTTGTTTGCCATCACAGTAGCGAGTGGCTGTTGGGCAGAATAAAAGATTAAGCAACACTACACTCTTCATTTAATAATTTTGCGTACTAAATTCCATAAATGACATGAACTTGCGATCGATCATTTGAATTTGGGTGAACAACTCCAAAGGCCGTGAAAGCGCTGGTGTGCCTGACAGCATAAGAACATGACGCGCTTGTTTCGTCAGACGCTCCGCTACCATAGCACATTTAGTTTTTGAATTCTTTAAAGTGTGGGATTCATCGAATATTACAAATCCAAATTTATGGTGGACTAACTGTTCCACATGCCGATCCATCATATTATAACTGGTAATAAGCACTTTTGCATCATCCAAACTTTGTTGATTGTTGGTTAGAACTTGTATATAATGAATCGGTATGCGAGGTAATAGCTCGCGTATGTGTGTTGCCCAGGACTCTCTGGAAAGGAAGTGTCAATGTAATATGTATGAGTAAGAAAAGAAGAAATTTACGCTTCTCTACCTAATGGAGGCTGTTGTGCATATAAGCAGTGGCCAAGATTCTCTATAAAAGTCAGCTACTGCCAGTGCCTGATACGTTTTACCAAGACCCATTTCGTCACAAATCATCAAGCGACCATGGTGCGCTATAGCAAAGCTGTGAAAAAGAATATAAAATTATATCTGAGTAGATAAGATTTGTGTCAGTTGATCTTTAATTGAACTCACCAAACGCCATCCTGCTGAAATGGCATCAGTTTTTGCCCCAATTTCGGTTCAATCGAAGACAAGCAGGAGCGTTCGATTTCCACAGCTGGCGTGCGACAAACCGCAATTACGCTTTTTGGTATAGTGCCAATAACAACTTCTGGATTCATAGCAGAAACGTGATCTTGCAGTAGTTGATAGTCATGCAAACCAAAACTCCAGATATGTTTGGTACCATCTATAAGGAAACGTAATACAGCAAATTAAAGTTCAGCAATTAAGAATATTTTAACTAAGCGCTACAAACCATATCCCTTCGATGGTATACTCTTGAATACATCAATCAATTTGGCATGGAAACATGAAGG